TCCATCCATCCATCCATCCATCCATCCATCCATCCATCCATCCATCCCTTATTTTCCACTTATTCTGAAGTCAGGTCATGGGGGCAGCAGTTTGAGCAGGGAGGCCCAGACATCTCTCTCCACATCTACCTCTTCCAGCTCTTCTGCCCCAAGGCGTTCCCAGACCAGCCAAGAGACGTCATCTCTCCAGCGAGTCCTGGGCCTTCTCCGGGGTCTCCTCCCAGTCGGATATGCTCCATCCTTACCAGATGCCCGAACCACCTCAACATTTGATTATTTTCTTGCAATTTTCGCACATTTGTCTTTGACTAGTCCCTGTCACAAACCAGTGAGAAACTAGTTACCAGAGAAGAAAAGTCTTAGTATAAGCTCTGTCAGACTTGTCAGACAGTCCAGCTCCACAACGTTAGCCAACATGAAACGTTCTGAAGGTGAGCAGCGCTGGGACAGGTTGGCCTGTTATTTTCTACAGACAGATATAATTAAAGAAGACAAGTGAGACCAGTAAAGACCCATGGGTCAGCAACTTGGTTGTTGCGAGGAGATTTTAAAGTTTATTCTAAATTTATTTATACTGTATGTGTACATCATAAAGTGTGTCTGAAATTACTCTATAGTGCTTTTATCGGTCAGAATATGAGGGAGCTGGTGGGGAGAATGGGATGTTAGTTCAGGGGAACCAGGCTGGAAAAATAACATCTGGACTGTCACCGTCACAGGAGCTGGTTGGTCCTGAGGCAAACTTTTAGACTTTTCCAGCTGTTCTATCCTGAAAATGAATTTGACTGATTTCATTAGGTGGTCCTTTACCAGTCTGCTTGAGTCCAGCATCCTGTTAGCAAAAAGTGAATGAAATGTCTCTGATGCTTCTAATGACATGTCAGTGATGTAGATGGCCAAGATGGCACCAGTGTGTGTGGCTAGCCGTCCATCACAGCCAATATTTTGTTTGTTTTAGTTCCCTGTGTTGGATATTATTTTTGTTGATGTGCAATCGTCAAACGCTGCTAGATGTTCAGCTTTATGCTGAAGATCTACTGAAGCTGCAGCTATAGTACGCACTGTGCTGCTGCTTCTTTTGAGGATTCCAGTTTACCTCTGCCGTGTCCCAGTGCAACGTCCTGAACGACTTGATTTACAGAAAACACACCTGAAGACAGGCATCTACTGGTTTTAACATATTTAAAAGTAGTTGTATATTCATTCAACCTTTGTTTATACAGGTTAGTCTCATTGAGTTATGAGGACGCATTTTCAAGAGAGACCTGTTTTAGACAAACATATAAAGTACAGACAACAACAATTCAACAAAAATCAATTGAAAATAAAATAAAAGAAGTTATAAAAACAGTCAAATCAAGGTGCCATATAAAACAATGTAAAACACTAAAAACAAAAACATATTTGCATACATTTTTATTGACCTTATCAAATGTTTAAAATCATCAAATTAATGGTTTGCATTTGTAATTATTTCTATCTTAGCATGTGTTGTTGTTGTTTTTTTCTGTCCTCCTAGTGAGGACATGCTCGTCTCCATTCTGGACCTGCCATTCTGTGTCCATTTGTCCTTCTTGTCCTCTCAAACCCAACTGGTCGAAGCAGGTGGCCGCTTGTCCTGAGCCTGGTTCTGCTGGAGGTTTCTTCCTGTTAAAAGGGAGTTTTTTCTTTCCACCATCTCCGTTGTGCTTGCTCAAGATGGGAGACTGTGACAAAATGAAGACACAACACAATCTGCTGGCTTCCTTAGATAATGTTATTAATTTAATTTTTATTTATATGAATGTTTCTGAGCAGCACGGTGGCACAACTGGTAGAGCTGCTGCCTCTCAGCGAGCAGGTCCCTGGTTCAAATCCCGGTCCAGAGGCCTTTCTGGGTGGAGTTTGCATGTTCTCTCCGTGCATGCGTGGGTTTTCTCCGGGTGCTCCAGTTTCCTCCCACAGACCAAAAACATGCATGTTAGGCTGATTGGTAACTCTAAATTGTCCCTAGGTGTGAATAAGAGAGTGAATGGTTGTTTGTCTCGTTTGTCTCTATGTGTCCCTGTGATGGACTGGAGACCTGTCCAGGGTGTCCCCCGCCCCTCACACAGTGACTGCTGGACATGGGCACTGCGACCCCCGTGACCCAAAATGGAAGAAGCTGGTAAAAGATAATTGATGGATGGATGGATGTTTCTGTTCAGTGCCCAGAGATGACTTCTGTTGTGACTTGGCATTATATAAATAAACTGAATTGAATTGGTTGTCACTTCCAAACTGTGTTTCTTGAATGCGTCCCCCCCCCACCCCCACACACACACACACACACAAACAGAGAAATTAATTTAACTGATGAAATGTATTTTAATCAGTTAAGAGTCACAATGAATAAGACATCTTCTCCTATCGCTCCACTTTGCCACATCCAATATGGCGTCGTCGTACAATTCAGCGCTCAGTGAGGCGTCTATGTGTATATGTCTGTGGGTAAAACATTGCTGTGCACAACGATGATCTGGAGTGAAGCTTAATGTAGCTTTACATGACATCATCTCTGTGTTCATAGAGTTATATAAAACAATTAATGATTCATGGACGCAAAGCTACCAGCACCAACCAGATAGTTATTTATCTGGTATTACTAAACTGTGAAGCTGAAGGTGGCTCTGAACGCAGCTGAGCTTCTGTTTCACGCACCTTTCAATTTTAGGTACATTTGGTAACATTTGTAGATGAACAGATGCTGGGATATATTCATCGTTTAACGCGAGTTCCTCATTTTTCTGGACTGAATAAAACGTGCACTGAATTTAAGGAAATGCAAAGTGAGACGTCATTTAAATTTGACCCATCAAAATGAATGCGGTCATTTATTTACAGAATCAAATTTAACATCAAACATTTACATTAATTTGGCAAATTATGAAAATAACAACAAAGCAATCAATCAGGAAAAATCATACGGCCATGATTTTTCCGTTGCTGCACCAACAGACATTTATAACTGTACAACTATGATCTTTTACCCACATGAATGTGGGTAAGCACTTTACACAGACATTTCTAAATATCTGGGAGAATTTCTACTTGATAGAAAAGTTTAAGATGAAAGATGAAGTTTAAAGGGGAGAAAGATGGTGTTTGAGGTAGAGTGTTGAACAGAACGGCACTCTCCGGGCTTTCTTCAGCTTTTCCTCACAGTACACTTAGGTGGTGAAAACGACTCTTTTACCTGGAGATGTCTCAGGCGAGATTCCGTTTAACGCACCCTTTCAGCGTCTCCGTAGGATGCTGTTACTCGTCCGGAGTAGCTGCGAGGTTCTGTCAGCCACAGCTCACCTCAGTGGAAAATGTTATAATCCCATGGAACTCGGAAGAGCTTCGTTGTCATGTCAGGAACTCCAACAGCACTCCATCAGAACTCCAGAACTCTAGAAGTCTGACAACTCTCCAACTCTGAGTACCTGTGTGTCTCTCCGTGTCCCTGTGAGTCTGTAGAGTCTGTGTAGACCAGGAAGTACTGACATTTTAAAGACTCTTTCCCGGTTCACTTTTTGGGATTTTTCATTGGTCAGAAACGACCAGAAGGGGTGTGTTTTTGTGACGTAAGAGGTTAGAGACAGCGAGAATTGTTATGAGACAGCTCAGAAATGTTCTCACAGACCGAGAGGGTTCTGTTTTGGCGTGCCTTAAGAAACAGGTGCAAAACATCTCTATTTACGTCTGAGAGGATTCTAAAACATGACAGTTTTAACATAACAACTTGTTTTTCGTTTGACTGTAACCTTGTAAACGCACACACTTGCTCATTCAAAAGCAGAAATCAGAAAAATGCATAATTACTCTGCACAGCTTTTAACATGAGAATAAAATCATTACTCAGTTAATAAAATTGATTAGTTCACTGCAACATCTAAAATGGTTTGAACTAAGACACTTTGATTATCAACATTTGTAAGATAGTAATGATAATAAAAAGAGAGTGTTCTTTTCACTTGAATCTTCAAGAAAGAAAGTCTCAGGATGGGTGAACCTGTATTTATGTATTCAAATACATGAAATGACAGCTTCTATCCCACAAGGTTCTAAAGGTCAAGAGTTTTGACCTTAGACTGGGTTTCGACGTAGGCTTAGTCCACTACAGTCCCCCCTTTGGAAATCATCACCTGTCCATGGAGATGAATTCCAACTATGGACTTACGTCGTCGATCGTCCTTGAAGCTTGATGTAATCCAGCAAAGAAACAAGAGTCAAGAGTAATCCAGCAAGGAAAACAAAAGTCAAAAGTAATCCAGCAAGGAAAACAAAAGTCAAGGTAATCCCACAATGTTCTTGGTAATTCCATTGTGTTGATTATAATTCCATATCGTCTCGATAATTCCATTGTAGCAATGCTTTAACCCCTTGGAAACAGAGTCTGTAATCCACTGGAAAAAGTCATATAATCCACAATGGTAAATCCACAACGATTGGAAGTGTTGATTAATCAGCATACAGAGGGGTACCCTTGGATTGAACTGAAGAAGCGGCCACCGGATGAAGAGTGGAGACCAACGTCAGGATTGCAGGTCGCCTCCAGCGAAGGTTGTCTCCAGCGACGTCCAGCCTGTGCCGTTCTGGTTCAATGTGTCATGCAATTATGTGGTTTAAGGTGGGCTTATGAAGGGGATTTTACATAAGGCCTTAAACTATATGCACCTGGTGTGTAAGCTATTATGGTTGGGAACAGCTACAACTACCAGTTAAGGGGTGGAGCATGCTGAAAGGGGTAACTACAGGGGTTTAAGCCTATAGAAAAGGGTTCCAAACTATTTTTCCATTTCTAACTTGGCTTAAGTTAGCTTTACATGGCAAAATATAGTTTGGTTCAAATGTCTGTTGTCTTTTAGACGAACGACTTGAGATTGGGTGTTTGGTTTCCCATAAATGTTTTGGAAGTCTATGGCGAGACTTATCAAAAAGAATTAGCTATCCCCCCGAATAGAATTGTTCGAGTAGGTTCGGCTTAAGTGTTGTGAGATCAATGTAGATTATGGTACTTAAGGTAACAATAATATACATTGACTCCGCAAGGATTGCAATTTAATGAATGAACTGCATGTTGGCATGGTCAAAGGCTTCTTAGTCTCTAACTTACTACACACAAGACTCATTCTTACCTCAGAAACAACCAAAATCAACTAAACAACGTTTCAACACCGACAAGAGTAGTGACTAAGCATCTAGAAACATCGTTTCACTGCTCCTCCTCACCCTGGTTGTCAGTTTCAGTCGCGCTGTCCCGTGTGAGTGGCTTCTTTGCGGACCCGCTTACGCGAGGCATAATCATATCGAGGTGCGCTGCATGGCGATCCACGTCGACTCGGAGTGACGTTTGGCCCCGGGACAGGGATGCGAGTATCCCACACAATACGAGGGTTATCGTCATTAGCAGGGCTATGATTAATGTGTCCGCGCTCGACCACGCATAGTTAATTGGTTGGATCGGGTTCTTAGTTGTGGACCTGAGGGACTTGAGAACTTGGTTTATTGGTTCCACGTCGACGACTTGGGTGCCTTCAAAACGGATCCTTCCCAGAGTCTCTGGATCTATGTCTATAGACATATTTCTCAGGTACTCTGAGTCATCCAGAGTCGCGTCCCATCGTTCCGGATCGAGGTGATAGAGCGTCAAATCACCAATGTGTATGGTTGTTCCCTGGGGAACACTGATCCACATCGTTTTGTCCGGTAACGTCAGAGGTCTATTTGCCCCGGGTTGATCGTAGGCTATGATCGCCTGTCTTTGAGGAGCGTTCACTAGCCAACGAGAGCCAATTATTTCCGCTTTTGCATCTTTAGCCAGGTGTCGAGGCGTTACGGTCGTTGAGCACTTCGAATTTTCCGGAATAGGTGTTAATCCGCATATGCCCGCGGTTTTATTCCACATAAACGGTTTGCTCGGGCACAGATAGTGTATCTCCCGAGTGAGAACACACATCTGCAGGTTTGGAGCTAGGTAAACTGAGGGGTTGTCGTCGTGGTACGCAACCATCCTTGGTGTGTCAATTTGAACATGGTTTTCGCCGTGCCAATTGCCAACATTTACGACGTCCCTGAGTCTATATATGCCGTTTGAGGGAATTATCGGTAGGTTGATAATGAACGCCATTTCAAATGTTTTGTGATTGACGTAGATTGGGATTGCGCTACCGAGAGTGTAAGCCAGGTGTGCCTGTGTTTGCGTAACTTTTTCGTGCGTAGCGGAGCTGAGGATGTCGTTCACCATCTGTAGAGAGACTAGATACGGTGGGATCCTACCGGTGGCTAGTGTATCTACCGACGAACTGATATCTCTAAGCATGTCAGCAAAAATCCTATCCATTAGGAGGGTGACAGCGTAATCCGCTTCAACCTTAAGGGCTAACGCATTTACCGCTATTATGAGGGCTTTGTTTTCTTGGGTGGCACCCAAGAGGGTGAAGATTACCAGTAGTGGTATCATCATTGTCCTTTGGAAACACAAAGAGATAGGTCTTAGCTTCGTCATGGTCAAGGGTAGGTCCTGTGAATTTAAACTATGGTTAAGTTTATTATCCATTAGTTATCTTCTGCTTGGATGACCCTTGTTCCCACGAGGTCAGATTTTGTGAGATCTTTGTCTCCTGAGGAGTTATTGCACGCCTTGTGTGGTTTAACCTGGTTACGGTGTACCCATTTAACAGTTGGTTCTTTTTGGCCTTTACTGATTTTTATCTGGTAGATAATTGGGGACACTTTGTCGGTTATCAGATGGGGTCCAGTCCATCTGGGCATCAGCTTACGGGCGAGAGTTCCGGTCCCGGACTCTCTTCTCCCAGTTTTGGGTGCAAACGTGTAGTACCAGACCCTGTCTCCCACTTGGAGTTCCTCGTGAGAGGCCTTTTGGTCGTAGTACGCTTTGCGTCCTTCAGCTGATTTTTCCAGGTTTTTCTGTGCGAAAGCAAAAGTGTTTTTAAGGTGTCTTTCCAAGTCTTTCATGTATTGTTGTGTGGTGTAGGCTGTTGCCATGGCAGCATCGCCTGGTTGGTACAACAGGTGCAGAGGGAGAGTCATTTGTCGACCCGTCATCATCTCGAAAGGAGCGATGCCAGTCGACGTGTGTGGAGTGGCCCTTATGGCCATGAGGACCAGAGGGAGTTTCACGTCCCAGTCCTTGTGGTTTGCGGCTACGTATTTTTTCAAAATACTCACCACAGTCCTGTTTGCTCTCTCAACCTGGCCTGAAGCCTGTGGGTGGTAGCCAATATGGAAGTTGGCTTTGACGCCTAGCGTCTTCCACAGTTCCTTCATTACTTCACCTGTGAAGTGTGTACCTTGGTCTGAGTTCACCCTAAGGGGAAGTCCAAACCTTGAAAATACATGATTCATTAATAACATAGCAGTGGTTTGTGCTGTGTCATTAGGGGCTGGTAGACATTCTACCCATTTGGTAAACGCGCAGGTTACCGTGAGAAAATATTTATTTCCTCTAGAGGTCTTAGTGAGTGGTCCGACCCAGTCAATCTGGAGGTCCGACCATGGAAATGCAATGCCTCTACTATGCAGTGGTGCTCTGTGAAGTGGTCTGGATGGTTGAAACTGGCCACAGATCAGGCACCCTTTTATGTAGTCCTTGACATCCTTTTTCATTCCAGGCCAATAAGCAATCTGTTTTAATGCTTTCAGCGTGGCATTGTCACCCTTATGTCCTGCGGACGGAAGGTCATGTGCATGGACTAACATCACCCCCCTGTGGTCATGGGGGACCACGAACACAGGTGAGGACGTCCGTCCATGAGCGAAAGTTAGGATGCCCTTGAGTAGTTTTAGCTGTTTGCGCAGCTGAAAGAGGACTTTGAGGTCTGGATTGGAGTCCAGCTCGACTTTCGATGGAGTGTATTTGTCTGCGTCAGTCAGATACAGCATCATCGAGTTAATTGCAGGATCCAACTTCTGAAGTTGGATGATGTCTGGGTCAGTCAGCATTGGGCGCACAGAAACTGTGTTATCAGCAGGTTTAGCTGCAGCTTGTGCACGTGTGACCGCCATTACCTCAGTTGTAGCTTGTGACGACTGAGTGTTGAGTAGCCAGGAGGGGTCAAAGGACCACGTGGGTCCGTCAACGGCTCCTTCTTTGGCTAGGTAGTCTGCAAGGTCATTGTAGTACTTGTCATCGCCTGGGACTCTAGAGTGTCCTGGAACTTTCTTCCAGAAGATCTGTAGATCATGTGATGTCACCAAGTGATCACATGTCATGAAAAGCTCTTTGTGTTTTACCACCTTCTTGTTGCTTGTGAGAAAACCGTTCTGTTTCCACAGAGCGAGATGACACAAGAAACTCAGTCGAGCATAGTTAGAGTCAGTGCAGATGACTAGCGTCTGGAT